TAATTGATATACTTTGACCAAAGTAACAGTGCATACTTGTAAGAGTAGAAAAACACGATGGTTTGCCATGTGATTTCTTTTTAATAAAAAATGTCCTTAATTTTCTAACAAAATCAATCAAGTTCAGGCTAACTATTTTGCCAAGAGTTTCATAATGATTTGTACAAAAGTGGAATGATAGATTTTGTGTTTTGATGCTTAAAACAGAATTAAAACTTAAAAGTAAAAGTCAAGTAGAGTGGAAATGTGTGTAAAAAGATAAAAATACCCACAAATCTACATCACAGTTGTCAATCCACTTGACAGAGAAGAGATAATCAGAGGTTTTGGCGTGCCCCTTATTTCTTTTGTGTAAATTGTTGTTTTCAGTGAACCTAACAGTCTATATATATATATATTTTTTTTTTCCAACAGAGAAATTTAAAGCATCCAGCATCATCTTCTCAACAGCCACAACTGCCAATTTTGTCAGACAACTAAAATCAGATAGAGCTGAATAAATGAAAACTGACACATCATAAAGTATAAGTACTGTAAAGCGAGATGGACACTGTGAAATGTTGCCCTCTGCCATTCATCTCAAGGCAAACAGGAACAGCTTGAAAGCATGGCACAGATAATTTTTATGAAGCCATATTTCGGCAAGTTTGTGGATTAGAAAACAAACACATTCAACGCATGGCTTTCTTTGCTTGTATCCTGGTTTAAAAAACTATTTATTGTGTGCTGCTTCACTGATGAAAACACTATAAATTGTATATTGCATTTCAGATAATAGGCGACTCCAAATGTTAAAACTTTAAATGAGTAGCTTCTAAAAATCTCTTACTGGAGCTTGCCATAAATGAGCCATGAGCTCTACTTTAGAGAGCCGTTTACTTTGTCACCATTTTCTCAGACGAGCTGCATCCATGTTGCAACGCATCAACGCTGCCCATCAGATCAGGAGACGGCACATGGAGCTCAGTACAGACCTGTGAAAGTGAACCTACAAAGAAAGGGCATCGCTGATGTTAGCCTCACTCTACCTTCCATAACATCAACTATAAAACAGATTGCGTCATCACTTAACCTTGTAAGTAAATGCCTCTTTTAAATCAGCAAAGAAATAAGGTACCTGAAATGTTAGCACATTTCTGCATGTGAAAACTGGAACCAGTTCACATGGTCCTGTTTCTGTCGTTGCCCTATAGGGCGTCAGGATGTGAGGTGCCAGCTTTTGTGTTTTCTTCAACATAATCATCTCGCACATTAGCTGCAGGTCACTCCTGCAGATATTTATAGAATCCCTCTTACGCAATCATCCACAGAACCAGACATGGCTATTCTAAGTAAGACGGAAAGGAAGGTGCAGGAAAGAAAGTGAAGACGGAGAAGAAACCATGCCATGAAGACGGAATGAAGCAAAAATAGATGCAAACAGAAAGGTCAATGGATCCCCAAAATAAGATTCATTTCGGGTTTTGAAATAAACTGGCACTACAAAGAAAAAATAATAATTAAAGGAACTTTAAATCTGAATATAAGCCAGATAAATGATTATAAAATTATAATCTAGTATGAAGTTTGCACCTACTAAATGTACCTCCTCAGATAAAGTAGTAAAAAGGTCTTTGACCCTAATTTTTCACAAAACTATGAACTCTGATCAATAAACCACACTTTTAAGCTTTGATGGATGCCAATATAAGTCTACAGGATTACAGTAAAACAATTGGTTTTCTGTCAAAAAAGGGATTTTCAGCATGTGTTGACATACAGCACCATCAGAAAAATCTTTAAACTCATGTCAAAACTGATTCAATTGACTTTTTTCCCCTACTGATGGTTGTCCCTAATGGCACTGCAAAAACAGATGTTAAAAAAGGAGTCTGATCTATTAATTTATAAACTTCAACTAAAACATGAAATTACACCATTTATTTAAGGTTTACAGACCTTTTACTTTGCACTCAGAACACCATAACTTAGCATAAAGTCGTCAAGCTCAGCTCCGTTAGAATAGGACGTTGGAGCACATTAAATACTGTATGTGAAATCATCTTTACTGTATGACTGGAGCACATAAATGACCAAAAGGGGAAACCTCAAGCCTTAGGTGCTGGCAATTTGGCTTCCAAACCAAGGTGAGGGGGTGGGTAACCCGTACATCTGTGCATGTATTTGCACGTTACCGCTGCAATCTGATTACAATCTAAGGCCTCACCCTTGTTCCATCCATAACCGTGTCCTGTTATTTAAAGACTGAGGTCATTTTTGCTGCAGTTAGTAACTCTATATTAATGTTTCCAAACTGCACCAACCACACTAACCCAATGGCTCAACCTGGTGATCTGACGCAGAATTTCATTTTGATGAAGCTGGCAGAATCAAAGACCCAGCTCTTTCTCAGGCAGCAGAAGAGCTAGCCTAAGGCGCACGAGGGAAGTGTGCTGGTGGAGCCCCGTCATTCTGATATGCAATCCAAGAGAAGTGTTTGAACATGCAGGTCCTCCACACATCTGCCTCTTTAGCATAGTTCTTACACACCGGCGCCTGATAATAATAAAAAGAAGTTTTATGATATTCAACTAGAACTTTCTTTTTTTAATTATTAATGGACAACTGCAGATAAAACTTCAAATGCTGTGTAGGTGGACATTTTTCCAAAATTTAAGATAGCATTTTAAGAAAAAATAAAGAATATCTAAAGCAAACCTGAGTGGAGGTAAACCTGCGGTGAACTTTACTCCTCCCCACAGACTTAATGCCACAACCAGGTGGACAGTAATCCTACAGCTTAGATACAGATTTACACCTTTAGAACTTTAGCACCCCTGACTTTACATACACAGGGCTATTTTGGGGCTTTGTAATCCAAACCTAACTGTAACCTTAACACAGCACCAAAAACCAACCACTGAGTGTGCATGTTAAAGATTTTTTCTTTAAATTTGCAAATAATATTCCAAACCCTGGTGGGACATTTGTCATACACATGAAGGAATCAGTGAAACTATATGAGTAACTGAAATCTAGGGATGCACGATATTGGATTTTTGGCTGATATCTGATATGTTAAAACTTATTTGACCGATAACCAATACAGATATTTTTCCCCCCTACACCTACTTACAGAGATTACATAGCCTTCTCTGCTGTGGAGTTAAAATACTCCATTATTCTGCACGGTCTTTGTCAATTTGGCCTGCTACCAAATGCAGATGCCAAAAAGGGGGCTGAAAATGATCCAACACTATATAAATATATAATCTATATATTTTTTTAAAAACAGCGTATTTTATATCAGTGAGTTATTTTGATGGAATGTCCGATATTTAACTTGATTGCTAATATTGGCTGATACCATGCCGATAATATTGTGTATCCCTACTGAAATCATAAACATCCAGCCTGGCTATAATACTGAAATTACCGATAGCAATATGTTACAAAATTGCAACTTTTGAATCTTAAACAAAACACAAACAACAAAACAAATCTTATTCACGGTAGTAATGATAGCAAATTATTTATGAACCTACATAATAACAGACTGTGACTTTAGTTTTCAGGATGCACAGTCTCAAAACTGCCTTTAGGCTTAAGAAGAAAAAAGATAATGTCAGGAGTAGATGTTTTGCTTTTCCACTAATAGTTATGTTGTATCATAGAATAGGCTAAATAAACCATTTGAAGGACGAACTCTCACACCTCTGTAGTTTTGAGGTGACGGCACTGGTCAGAACAGCTACACCAAATAAAAAACAATACATTTCAGTTTAAAACTACCTCAAAACATGTTACACATCTCCACTTAGTAAGTTGTACCTTGGATCACAAAACAAGTAAAACAATAAAAAGAGCTTAACTGATCACAATAATGGTTTTATTATAGCCACTGCTGTCTTCCATGGTAGACCTCTGGAGAAGTTGCATGAAGACGTGTGCACGAGCATCAACTCAGACTTTGCTAACCATGCACATTTCTGCTGGATTTCACGTTTTGTATGTGCACCTTAGACCCTAAATGCTATAAAGTTTAGCAACAACTTTATGAAGCATTTTAGACTAATCCAAATCAGCATTATTAATAAAACCAACATCTATATATAAAAAAAACATTTCTCCCACAATAAAGGATTTTGATGTCAGAAATCTATAAACCTACAATCATTTGTGTAATAATGTATATATGGTTCAGTATTTGATTTTATGCCAGAAATATTTATATATTTTCATACATACCATGCCACCAAAAGAACAAGAATAACATTTTATAGAAACCACATCTGTATCAATTATTTTGTGTTTGTATGCATTTACTTCCTGTCCCCTCAGCCAGTCTAGGCTGCCTATCCTGAGCCCAGTTCTGCTGGAGCAGAGGCGTCCAGTCCATGCCCTCAAGGTCCACTATCCCACGTTTCAGAGATTTCTCTGCTCCAACACACCTGATTCAAATCAGTGGATGATTAACAGGCTTCTGCAGAACACCAAGAGGTAATTCAACCATTAGATCAGGTGTTGGAGCAAGGAAACAAGTAAAATATGCAGAGCGGTGGCTCTCAAGTTCCAGGACTGGACACCGCTGAGCTGGAGGTTTCTACCCGTTAAGAGGTCATTCCTACCCACTGTCACCAGAGCGCTTGCTCAGAACGAGAGATTGCAACAATGTGGAGACTTGAAGCAATGTGCTGGCTTCCTTAGATTGGTAACTTTAACTAACTGGCATTTTATAAATGCATGCAAGAGTTTTTGTTCAGCATCCTGAGACGACTGTATAAATAAACTACATTGAAGATCCCCTCCCTCATGTCACAGAACCACAGCCTTGTTTCCATGCATATTCAGCTGAATAATATCCACGATGTTACTGTTTTATAGCATTTATACAAGCAGAGGGACGTCTCCTGTTCAGACATTCAGCAGCAACAGCACAGTGACAGTTCTGACAGCAAGCAGGACGTGGATCATCAGAAGGGTGCAGACACGATGGACCACCAGAAGGACATGGGACTCACCGAGTGGTTGATTCCCCACATCAGCACGCTGAGCAGCGGGTCGCTGGCGCGGAACAGCTTCACTTTCTGGGCGACGAAGTGTTTTTTCTTCGTCTTCGTTTTGCTCGCAATAGATGCGGCGATGCCTCCTGCCGAAGCCATATTCACGCAAACTGGCTGGTGGATGCAGCGATGGTGATGATACAGTGTCTTCAGCTCACAGCTCAACAATATCAACACCGTTCATTTGGTCCGCTCGCAAACCCAAAGGAGTGCTCACCTTTTAAAGTCCCACACTGAAGCTAAACGAAGTAACAAAAGCTAGCAAGGCTGTTCTCATTCACCTAAAGCAGCCTTTCTGTCCTCTGCAGCCCACATCAGCGCTCTGCCCTTCCTCGACGCGTCTGGAGCTTTCAGTGAGCTGGCGTTAGCATAGCCGATTAGCCTGCTAGGTAGCTACCCGCGATAAAAATAAAAAATGAAAAAAGTAAACAAAAGCGACTTGAAAGGCGTAAACCGCCGCGGAGAAATGAGCAACGACTTATAATTCACGCTTAGAATAAAACATTAAAATGACAGATAAATTACGCTTTTTTTTTTTCTTCTGTAGCTAATCGCTCCGGACTAACAGATCCGCTCCACGCCGGCCTTCGCTCGCCATATGACGGCACAAAGCGGCAGCACACTCCGCTCACCGCCTGCAAGCTAGCTGCCGTTAGCCCGACGCTAGCCCTCCTCCTACGCGGTCGTAGCTAGTAGTCCGTGGAGATGACGAGGTATCCTGTCATGCCCTCGCCCCGTTTGATGGAAAACACCGAGCAGAAGACGAAACGACGTAATGTCAGCGGGCGGTCAACTCCAGCTTCAGCGGCATTGATGTTCATGTGCGCTGCTGTCAAGTGACAGCCCGACGGGATGGGCGGTGACAGCTCGAGCCTTAACGTTAACGTGCGCTGGCTCCTCCCTCCTCCTCCACCGGGCTCGCGCTGCCACACCGCTCGTTCTGCTTCTTTACACCGCATACACATCACATGTTGGAGTTTTTAGTGCGTGACCCCTGGCCTCATTTATTCGAGGCTCTTTTCAGGAAACAGTGTGATAAACGTCCCACGCTACAAGAGGTCACTTGGTTTTCTGGCGCACGCAGCGCTGTTTCCATATTGCTGTGTCAGTATTTTCTTAAAGCAGGAGGCCTCAATGTGCTGATGCTGAATATCCCTCATTTGTTTTATGAGTCACTCTCCACAGCAGCACGTTTGGAGGCCTACCTCACCATCCCTGTTGCCCCCATAGCCAGTGGCGGTTCTAGGGGGTGGCACCAGAAACCTCGCCACCCTATTTGTAGATTGAATTCTGTTTCAGTTCAGTTTATTTATATTGCGCCAAGTCACAGCAGAAGTAATCTTAGGGCACTGAACAGAAACATTCATATATAAAATAATAAGCTAACGCACAATATCCTGATGCATGCTCAATAATCCAGGTAGAAAAATTTTAAAAAGTTAAACCTGGTCCTCTGGACATTCAACAAAACAACAACAAAAAAATGTAGAAATGTTTCGTCTCTCATCCAAAAGACTTCCTCAGTCTGAGGTGCTGTATTCAGCTCAGTCTTATAAATAGCACCTCCTCATGGTGGATCAACCAGTTTTGCTGCTGACAACCAAAACCAGCTGATCACATGCTCAAGAAGGACCATCAGCCTAACAATGGATCATTAGCACCTGATGGCTGTTTACTGTTCACAGAGGGCTGAGTGATACTAGCAATCACAGCATTGTAAGAGGGGGACAGTTGAACCCGGAGGCTCCACCCCTGTTTAATGATGGACGGTTTCTTTTCACAAAGATGGCCTCCTTTACTCCTCTCTCAAACCATCGTTCCTCTCTGTCCAGGATGTGAACATCTTCATCCCTGAAAGAGTGACCGCTGGCCTGGAGATGAGTGTAGACCTCAGAGTCCTGGCCTGATGATGTTGATCTTCTGTGCTGGTCCATCCTTTTGGCCAGTGACTGTTTAGTTTCCCCGATGTAAGACTGATCACCCTCCTGACACTGAACAACATACACAATATTACTCTGTTTGTGCCGGGGGACTGGATTGCACAATGTTAAAAGTTAAGGACCTCTGCAGACTTTTAATATCCTGACTCACTGATTTAGAATTTGCCCATACCCCCCTTTGAATTTAAAAGTTTTTGTTCAAAACGTTTGTTTTATCTGCAAACAAACCTGGAAATTTCACCCAGTGTTGTAGTCTACATCTTTGTAGTGACTGTGCGTAGAAACCAAAGTACAACAGTTAGTACAATGCATTCGTCAATTTATTTAGATTTTTAAGCATGTTGAACATTTCCATATTTCTCTGATGCTTATGTTTGAATAAATGTACAACAAACTTTGCACAACAGTTGGCTTTGTATTGAAAACATGTCATAGAACTTATAAAACAGTATCAAAGCAAAACATGTTCAAGTATTAAGTACAAAATTATACAATCATTCGCTGGATAAGCGAATGTAATGAACAAGCACTGCATGCAGATAGATTGTTACATATGCGTTTAACTGCCGTTTAACGCACAAATGACAAATGCCTGATGATATGTTATGTATCACCGGGCACTTTTAAGTGGATATACTGACATTTTAAAGCTTTTCTAGTTAGTATACTACTATATACCTGCATATCGCGTAGACTACTCCACTGATTTCACCAGATCAGACTGTTTCAAGACCTCCCAACCAGCTACATTTGTTTGACAAAAACTCATGATTGTGAGTTTTCATTTGAATGGTGGTAAAACACGACGGTGCTGACAACTAGCACTCAGTTAAATGTTGTTTTATGTCATTTTAGCCATAGAAAAACAACATGAATGCATTAATTTAAGTCCCAAAATAAAGCTAATGAATATATTATGCTCCTGCTGCACCTAAATATTGCCAGTTTGCCAAAAAACACACACACATCTTGACTGTGGCAGCCATAGTGCATGACAGCAGTTTACAAAGATATTATTAAACTTGCGCCCAGATAAACCATCATTTAGCTCAATTAGACACTCGTTGCCTAGAAACCTGTCTTCAACTTCCTTTTTTCATTGCTACAAAACTTTGAACTCTGCTTCTCGTGGTGAACGGTTGCAAAAATGGAAGCGTGTAAACGGGTCTCGTCTTAGACTGAAAGTAGATGATGAGTCACAGAGAACATTTAAGAGAGTGAAATTACATTTATGAGTTTGTTGGTGAACTGAGCTAATTGTAGACGGTCAAGCTATAACTATCAGGTTATGATCTTATTTCGTAGAGCTGGGCATATTGATCATTGATTGAACAAGTTTATTTTTTATTAGACCACAGAATGGTAAGAAATTTGATCTTTGACCTGACATGCATGGGCTACTAATCTATTATGCTTATACGTTTTTTCAATATTCATTATTATTTATTTGTCTTTATGTGTATCTTCGTTTCTTTATTTGTCTTTGTATTTATTTAATTTTGTGAGCTATTCTACAATAAACTGAATTCACATGAACACATTTAGGCCATATTTATTACTTTGCTACGTCTTGCTCTCCTCACTAATTTGGCAGAGTTTTCTTGTTTACCATCTCCCCCTGTTGTTAGAAGATGAGAATGAGATTTCTCTGCTGGAGCTTGAATCTTGAAACCAGACCCTCTGCAGGTTCAATAATCACAACAAGTTTATTCAGGGGCAACTGACAGCTTTGCAATTATTTATGATAAGGTCTAACACCAGATTTACAAGTAGCTACAGCTAGCAGTGCTTGTGTCTGCTCATTTGTTCACACGTCAGGAGATTTACTCTTAATCAAAAGATGCAGAATTTACTATTTTATTGGTTTAACAAATTATAACAGCACATTTATCACCATTTAAAATAAAACACCACTGTTGTTTCACAATCTTTTTTTAACTACTGTGGTTTTGATGAATACAAAATTGTTTAGTTTCGTTTTTTTATCATTTACATCAAATGAATAAGACATGTCCCTTAACAGAGGTCTTACAGATGCAGATGTTATGAGGAGGGTACACACAATCAGCAGTTGGGATGTTCAGTTCTTCCTCGGCCCACTGAAATAGTGTCTTCCAGCATAGAACTGAAGCTTTTCCAACTATGGCCATCTTCTTTACCAAAGTTGCTTATGGAGTTCCTCAGAGTTCAGTGCTTGGACCAATACTCTTTACTTTATATATGCTTCCATTAGGTAAAGTTGTTAAACAGAACGGGATACATTTTCATTGTTATTCTGATGATATCCATCCATCCATCCATCCATCCTCTTCCGCTTGTTCTGAAGTTGGGTTGCGGGGGCAGCAGCTTGAGCAGGAAGGTCCAGACATCTCTCTCCCCAGCCACCTCTTCCAGCTCTTCTGGGAGGATCCCAAGGTGTTCCTAGGCCAACAGAGAGACACAGTCTCTGCAGCATGTTGGGTCTTCCCCGAGATCTCCTCCCAGTCAGACATGCCCGGATCACCTCCCTAGGGAGATGCCCAGCTAGCCCACCATGCTGATGATATTCAGTTATATTTGTTTGTTCATGAAACCCAGACTACAAGCACGTCTTAAAGACATTAAATCCTGGGCGGCCCTTAATTGTCTTCTGTTAAACTCAGACAAGACTGAGGTTTTGGTCTTTCCATTTCTCTGGATGGCATTAATTTGGCCTCCAGTTCTAAAGTTAAAAATCTTGGTGTTATTTTTGACCATAATACGTCTTTTAACCCCCATATTAAAAACTTTACCAGAAGCACTTTTTTCCACCTGCATAGCTAAAATTAGAACCATCTTGTTTGCTCATCTTGTGCTGCTGTTCGGCGTATTGTTTTTATACTACTAGTGCTTAGTGTATTTTTAGTTAACATTTTCTTAGTTCACATCTTAGCTCTTATTACTGTTTTTCTTTTACATTTTATCGTTGGATGTAACTGGGACCCTGTGTACACAATTTCATTTGCACCACATGTACCAAATGTGGTGCGAATGACCAAGAAACTGACTATAACTAAAAATGATGCAGAAAAACTGGCCCATCATTTGTCAGGTCTAGACTGGACTATTGCAATGGTTTGTTATCTGGGTGTCCAAATACTTTGTGCCTCCTCTGTGCTCAGGATGGGAGACTGTGAAGAAGTGAAGATTCAACATAATCTGCTTCCTTAGATAGAGAACGTTTACTAATTTGCTTTTGTAATGCCTGTGAATGTTTCTGTTCAGTGTCCTGAAATGACTTCTATTGTGACTTGGTGATATATATAAATAAAATGAACTGGATTGAACTGGAAATATTGTATTTGCTGTAACAGAGTATAGTATAAAAAGCTGGAGGCCTACAGCTGTTGGTGAATCTGCTGCATGCTTTACTGTCAATGTTTGTGCCAGTGATGAGCTCTTTGTGTTCAGGATGTGTAAGTTTGATTAAAACATATAACACTATAATTTTAAAATCAACCAATGAGAGTTGCATTATAGTAACGGACAAGTATTTCTCAGTAAAAGTATTTTGCGTTGGAAATAATGTTTGAACTGTAGTTTCTAAAATGACCAACAGATGGCAGAAAAGAGCAACATTTGTATTTTATTCCCATTTTTATATTCCTTCAAGTGGATTGGTTTAAAAACTTTTGTCACTCTTGTCCAGATGCTCTTGTTTATTTTATATGTTTCGTATAAAATAATTTATAGGGTTTCAGCCAGTCCATCCCAGATTACTGAAAGAGTCACGAGGGCAAATTAACACATGTTGGTTTCTACATTTTTAAAAAGAGTTGAAAAATAGTCTGAGAACACAAGATGTTGGACAATGTTTGAAAAACTGTTTAATATTTTCATTTTTTTAATCACTTTTATTCATAATTTGGCATCGCAGCATCTTGGTTGGCTTTGACAAAATGCCATTTGAGTGAAAACTTTTCAGTGTGATCTATTGCTTTATTAACTGTGTGTTGCAGAATTGGACAAAAGCAAACCGTCAACTTGGAGAAGATAGAATAATAAAAAAGGATGAATTTATTATTAAAAGCGGATAAACATTTGAATTATTCCCAGAAAATGGATTACCAGATGATCTCTTCTTATTTCTCCAGTTATTTTTATCTCTTACAAATAGTAAACTAGAAAAAGTGGCGCAACAAATCATTTAATTTAGTCTCTTTCCTCTGTTTTTCTTTATAAACTTAGACTAACTTTAGATATTTATTTAATTTTTGGAGGTAGGCCTCCAAAAATGCACGTCCAAATAAAACAAGACAAATAAATTAATCTGAACCAAATGGAAACCACTTCACAGCCAAACAACACTTTTGTTTTAGACCAGTCGCAGAACCATTCCAAGGTCAGAGAGAGATTTTCTGGCTGTAGATCTTCGTTACCCTCCCCCTTCCTGCTCCAATCCAGTGCTTTACTCCCCCCTCGGTTCCTTTCTCCTTCTCCCTCTCCCCGTGCGCCCCACCAGTGTGGCCTCACTGGGCAAACGATCCCCTTTTTAAGATGCCAGCACACATGCCCTTTGTGTTCAGGCTCTGCTGCTCCATCTTACACCCACAATTATCAACACACACAAGAACAGAAACCTTGGGGTGCACGACGAGGTGCTACAACTGACAAAAGACGGTTGTGTAACAAGTTGTGTTCTTCTAAAGTTACACCAAGTCAACAGCACATGCATTTCAAAGTAGATTATACGATCCAGTTGTGAGTTTTCTTTCTTTTTCCTTGTGCGACTCATTTAACTTTTAAAAGCAGCATGCATCTTATAGTTTAACAGAAGGCAGTCCTCGCCTCGTGGGGCATGGATCGTGTCGGGACGCTCCAGATGGATGCAAACAGCTGAAATGAGCTTTGCTCCAGATTCAGAGGATTCACCTTAGAAACAAAGAGCTTGTGAGAAAAATATGATGTTTCACTGCAATCGGTGCAAAAAATGAGAAATATTAGCACTATTGTACAATTTTTGACCACAACCGAGTCGTCAGAGCATAGCTACATATCTTCAATATATTGAGATAACGATGGCCCCGAGTGGTTTTTGCATTCTTCATTTTTTTCTGGTGTCTCAGAATTAATATTTAAATGATTGACTGCTTCCTGTGTATTTGTGTGTATCATGTGAACGTGCTCTCTCTATCTTCGGCTTCTGCCGCTCATCTGTATAGTCCAGTCATGGAGAGCTCCTTCTGGGGGCCACCAAGGTGTTTCCAGACCAGAGAGGACATTTTATCCATGGGTCTGTCCCAGGGCGTCTTCCCAGTGGGACATACCCCCCACAAAACCTCCAAAGGAAAGCATCAGTCTGACTTTTTTCAATGCTGAGGCACAGCAGCTCTATTCTGAGCTCCACCTGGATGGCAGATGAAGAAGGATCAAGGATCTTGTTCATTTGGACACGATCCAAACCTGATGGCGATGGGCGGGGCTTGGAACGCAGACAGACCAGGAAGTCGAGAGCTTTGATTTTTCGACTCAACCCTTTCTTCACCGTGACCGACCGAAGCAACGCCCTCATTACTACTCCATCTCCACGCAGGAACGCCTCACCTGAACTCCTCCACCCGAGGCAAAGAACCTTCACTCACCACCTCCCCCAGCCTGGAGGTGAGATGTGAACATCGTTTTAAAAAA